GGATTTATGACTTGCTTACCTCCAACTTCGGACGCTATGGTGGTCCCCTCTGGTTATTTCAAATTTGGCTTCAAGTGTACTTTCCTGAACTCGGACCTGTGGTAAGGCCTTCGGCCAATGACCCATTACTTTTTATAAGTTACGCATCAGCCGTACCTAAATCCTATTCGTTTGGAGATTGCTTCAATTTCTTTTACTCCGGTTATGAACAGAGGACTATCAGCCAATTCCTTCCATTTTCTCATTGCTCACAAGCACCTCGATGGCTGACTCCTCCTCAAGGAGTGTCTACCAAAAAATCAGCTGATAAGCATTCGGCCATGTGGGCTAGTTTCTTACTTTCAAGAGACCTTCACTTCAACACTAGCCCTCTAGGCACAGTAAACTCAAAAGTTGGAGTTGAGTTCTACAATCCAAACCAACTTGCTAGGCAATTTGGTCTGACTCAAATGATCCCCATGCCCCCTTATTTCTCTTTCAACAAAAACTTCCATAGGCGTGTGGTATTTCCAGATGACTCCTATGTAAAGAACGTGTCCTCCCGGTTCTCAAATCTGCAAGCCGGATTCCAATTCCAACCCTTTATCAAAAACCCAGCCTCAGATTCTAGTTTTGATCAATGGTGGTCTTCTTACATTACTTCTACAAGGACGGCTGATAGCCAGTCCCTTGTTGTTAAAATATTGGAATCTTTCAAGTTCATATCTGTGGCCTTTGAAGGGGCATTCGTAATTTCCCGGGCCGTTACCCCAAAGAAGATGCCTCAAAAAGATCCTCCCAAAGATAAAAAACAAACGGCCAAGAAACTCCCTTTCTCTCAGCCAACAGATGCTCCAACAAGGACCAATAAAGAGAGAAAAGCTAAGGCCAAAGCCACTGTCAGCCTCCTCAAGGGTACGATCTTCCTTTATTTATATATATATATATATAAACTTTTAATTGAAATTCTCTTACCCCCCCCTTTTTTTTTTCTTTTTTTTTTTTTTTCGTAGATTCAGACAGTGGAACTTTATCAGCCTCGCTTAATCCAGAAGACGTTGAGCCCCAAGATGATGAGATTTCCTCCAGCCAACCTCCTCAGCCTTCAATAACTGAATCAGCCATCATCCCTGATGTTCCTCCAATTCCTCCAAAGGTAAAAGTTTTTTTTTTTTTTTTTTTTTTTTTTTTTTTTTTTTTTTTTTTTATCTATTAACACACAAAGACAATCATATCGGCTCAATTGTTAAAATACTTAGCCAATATTGATTTCTAATTCTCGGCCACAACTATTATTGGCCGAGACAAACTTTAATAAAGCTTCCATTCCAGGGAAAAAGAAAGAAATCCACTGCTCATGGCACTTTAAAAAGAACAAGATTGAGCACACGTAAGAAACAGGAAGTGGAAGAAAATCTAGAAAGCCTTCATCCTACAGAAGACGTGGCCGATGATCCCGTAATTAATGTGGCTGACACTCCTTCTGATCATTCCTCAGATGAAAAAGAGGTAAAGATAACTGTACTTGAAATTTTCAAACTTTTCAATTAATATGGTCCTTAATTTATTCTCTTTTGCAGCAATCTCCTCTTCTTGACTTGGTCTATAGCCCAGTTAGAAATTTCAGCCCTCTGAAGGATTTTCATGATCCCATTGAGGTGCCCTTCAATGTTCAAGTCACTCCTGCTAAAACTTCATCCCAGGGAGATAGCACAACGGTTCAGCCAGGATTTCCTCCTCCAGAAACCAGTCATCAGCCACTCTTAGTGACAGACATAGCCGAATCATCTAAGGTATTGACTATCTCATGTCCCAACAAAACAAAAAAAAAAAAAAAACTTAAGATCTAATCTTTCCTCATTTTGTCAGGTTGTGTATGAGAAAACTCAAATTATTCCTTTATTTCCTCCACAAAAAGTTCCTGCTTCATCTCTATTGGCCTTGAGCAATTTTTTTAAGGATGTGGTGGCTTCAGTGACCGAAGAGAAAGAAAGTGAATCTTCTGGAGCCACCCCAGTCACTTCAACCAATATCCCTATACAATCCTTAGAAGAGACCAAAAAATCTTTACTTGAGATCTTGAAAAGGGATGCTGCTGATCTTCCTAATTTTGAAAGTGAACTCACAGCAGTGCTTTCTACACTCAGCCAGTACCCAAACTTTCCGGTTGATCTTCAAGCCACTATTGCTACCTTTAAAGGCCAGCTACCAACTCTGACCGATGATATTTTCCAAGCCAATGAAGCAATCAACCAATTCAACAAGAGTAAAAACAGGAAGGATACCCTTGCTAACCAATTGTTAATTCAAGCTTCCTCCTTTGAAAGAGTGAATACAGAGAAAGAGAACATGTCCTTCAGAAAGAGATCGACCAGATCCATGCTCGTAAGGCCATCTTGTCTGCTGAAGCTGCCACATTGCAGTTTGAAGCTCAAGACCTTGCTCACGAGCATGCAAAGCTTCGTGGAGAATTACCTCAATTGGAAGAGTCAAAGAGGCAGGCCATGGTGGCCTTCAATCGGTCCTTAGTTATTTGGGCTGATTTCAAGGAAAAATTTGCAAACATATGAATTTTTTTTTTTATATTAGCTTCCTTTTGTGGCCATCTTAGTGTATGATCTTTAAATGATGTAATCTTTTACACTTCAATGAATAAATAGCCTTTTTTGTTACTCCAAACAAGCATCAACATTCTAGCGAGAAAGAATTTATTAAAATAACCAAATCAGCCTAGAAAAATAGGCCGATTTTTATTACATAAAAGGTACACATGGTCAGCCATAAGTACTGGCTAACACTAATTTTCCCTTTCAAAGATTGCTGGTACGTACCTCTTGAGGTACTTGCCATTAATGGGATAGTCATGTAATCGGCCACTGAAATATTTCAACCTATATGCTCCTCCACTTAAGACTTGATGGACTAAGTATGGCCCTTCCCATTTTTGGGACCACTTCCCATATTTCCTATCGACTTTACCCACTGGCAAAACAACTTTCCAAACCAAATCTTCTTCAGCAAAAGACTTAGGTTTTACCCTCTTGTTGTAGATGCTCATCACTTTCTTCTTGTGAGCTATGATGTGATCCAAGGCATCCCTTCTAAATTCATCCAAATCTTCCAATTCTACCAACATTGCTTGAGTATAATCAGCTGGAGTTAGATTATTTTGAAAAGCAACTCTGGCTGATTTAACCTTCATCTCCATAGGCAGAACAGCATCATAACCATAAGTTAACATGTATGGTGTAACTCCTGTGCCTGTTCTTTTTGAGTTCCTATAGGCCTATAAGGCTTCAGACAAAGTCTCATGCCACCTTCTTGGCTTATCTTTGATCATTTTTTCAATGATCTCAATTAGAATCTTATTTGAAGATTCGGCCTGGCCATTTGCTTGAGCATAGTATGGCGTAGAGGCTGACATATGAATATTCATGTTGTGGCCGAATTGTAATACATCAGTTGCTCTAAATACTGTTGCATTGTCTGAAACAAGTGTTTCTGGAATCCTAAATCTGTGGATGATGTTTTGCTCCATGAAATTAATCATTGTTTGCTGATCAACCGCTTTGCAAGCCTTGGCCTCAACCCATTTAGTAAAATAATCTGTGGCAACAATCACCCAGTGATGGCCTTCGCTTGATGGTGGATTAATTTTACCAATAAGGTCAAGGCCCCAACCTCTGAATGGCCAAAGTTTGATTATTGGCTGTAATTCTTTTGCTGGTACATTTTGAATCGGCCCGTGTCTTTGACAAGCTCGACAACCTTTTGAGTAATCTATGCAATCTTTTCTCATTCTCGGCCAATAATATCCATACCTGCGAATCAGCCATCTCATTTTAATCCCAGCTTGGTGAGCCCCACAGTTGCCCTCATGTACCTCGGCCATAACCTGAAGTGATTCCTCCTTGCTTATGCATTGTAGTAAAAGCCCATCTTCTAACCCTTTTCTGTATAGATCCCCATCTAGAAGCACAAAGTTGATCGCTTTTCTTTTAATACTTCTATCAGCCTTGATGTTTGGATTTCGAAGGAACATTATAAATGGTATCCTCCAGTCATCGTCGGCCAAATCTTCTACATCAATTGTCCAAGTATCAAACATAGTATTTCTCAATTCGGCCGATGGCAAAGATCTTCGTGTTATCTTTATCAACTGCTCTTCTATTCCGGTACTCTTATTCCTGAGGCTGCTTGGGCCACGCTGTTGGCCTCCTTATTCTGCCCTCTCGGCCAAAACTTAAGTTGAACATTATCAAATTGATTGATTAATGAAGTGGCCAGAGAATGAAACGGCCTTAATTGCCAACTTAAGCACTTAAAATCTTCAGAAATTTGGCTAAGGACTAAGTTTGAATCTCCCAAAATCTTTACATCTCTAACAGCCATTTCAATTAAAATCTCCAGGCCGATTATAAGCGCTTCATATTCGGCCTGGTTATTTGAACATTTAAAATCTAAAAAGAAAGAGAATGAAGCCTTTCTGCCAGCTGGCGAAATAATAACAATACCTGCTCCTACTCCATCAGCCGTGCTTGATCCATAAAACATCAAGATCCAAGGAGTCAAGAATATAGCTGATGACTCCAATTCGTCATAAACCCATGGATCAATATTAGTTGAAGGATGATCGGCCAAAAAATTAGCCAGAACCTTTCCTTTTACTGATTTTTGTACACTACAAGAAATTCGGGTTTTAGGGACAGTCCAAACTGTCCCTAAAAGCTCGAAATCCGTCCCTAAAGGTCAAATTGGTCCGTCACTAAAAGTAGCGTGACAAAAGAGCTTTAGGGACGGTCAAATTTGACCGTGACAAATACTTTTGACCTTTAGGCACAGTACTGACTGTCCCAAATAATACCGTCCCTAAAACTTATTAGGGACGGTATTGACTGTCCCTAATAACATATGAATTAGGGACAGTTTCAGGGACTGTCCCCATTACATATAGTATTAGGGACAGACAAACCGTCCCTAATACATAATTTTTTAATTATAATTATTGTATTAGGGACGGATAGACTGTCCCTAATACTTAAATTTCTTCTCTTTTTTTTTTTCTTTTTTTTATTTTTTATTTTATGCTTGATTTGTGGGTTTAACCATTTTGAATACATGCAAAACATAAATAAAATAGATCCACAATAACATTCAAAAAGATATTACTGGCCATAAAACAAAATAAATCTACAATACATATATTCAAGATCCATAAAATCTCCAGTTTTCTAAACAAAAACTAAAACTGCTCCCCAGTTTTCTAAACTAAAAGGTAGCACAAAAAATTGTTCCATCCTCTTCAAGATCCATTATTCATTCTGTTGGTGGTTGTGGTGGTGCTTGCAGGTGCCACCTTGTTGGTGGTGGCTGCTGAAAAAGAGAGTCTGCTGGAGGTGGCGGCGGCTGTTGATGCCAGTTTGGTGCGGCTCGCTGCTGTTGGAAATCTGATGGAGACTGTTGTTGGTGGAACCATGGTGGCGGCTGCTGCTGCTGTTGCTGATATAGGGATGTACATGTTGCATGAAATAGCATATATGCATCATTTTGTCTTCTTCTACCTTCTACTCACCATGAAATTACCAAGCGCCTTGTGTGAATATGGTGTGTGTGAGTTTCTTAGTCGAATATTATATAATTCAAAATCAAAAGTAGAAAAAAGCTAAAATAAAAAGACAAAGTAGTTCAGAATTATCAGTATATATATATACACACACACATAAATATGAATATGACACATCAAATTTGATGCAAAAAGATGGTAATGAGTACCTGATATTGGGACAAACCAGTATGCCGAGACAACAAATGCTTGTCAGCTTCACTTGGATACCTGAGTCACCAAAAACACAGTATGACATAAGATCCTCTTCATTCAAAATTTATCAAGACAAACAGCATTAAACATTTCTTTTAGGACTCCTTACTATGTATTAATATTATTCTTTAATTGAATTGATCACTGCTATATACACACATATAAAGTATTAATAGTACGCTCTCATCATGAGTTTGTATACTCCACTCTGGATTCAATGATTGAGAGTACAAACTCATGTAAGAGTTCCTGCGATTGTGGGTCGTTACAAGAGGGGTAGATTAAGGACCCAGCAGTTGGGAAGCTAATTGTAAGCATTCTAAACATTGTTCACATCATATACATAAATATATATACACAAAACACAGATTTGTTTTGCAAACCCTATACATGTATATAGATTGTTAAGACTTTAAATAAGGTTTTATATTTGATTCTTTTTTGCATCAAATTAAATATAATAAATAGAGTAAAATTCATTAATCATGTACACCGATTTATATAGCACCAAACACTTATATATAGCAAGGCCACAGACCCGTACAAACCCAACAAGGGAGAACAATATATACAACCAAGAAGTAGGGAATGCTCCTGTAACCGAACCATGCACAATTCATTGAAGAATCACACCATTATAAAGATATCTAGGAATTATCTCAAAATCATCATTAATATATACAACCACTAATTTTTACCTCCAAAAACCTAATATAATAGCCCACTTGATGTTTACTTGGACTGGACAAAGCCTAATTGATATATGCAGCACTAAGTGTTAAATAAGTACCAAAAGAGAAGGGAAAAAAGGAAGAAAGGCCATCAAAATTAATGTATGAAAAAGCTGAAATCCCAAACTCGACAAATTCAAAAGCAATGAAGAGAATGAGTTCACTATAAACCAAATTTTGTCACAACCATAAACTACTAAACATGCATGAAAGAATCCAAATTGGAAATATAGAATCAGTGACTATTATCTTTTATTTTTGTTTATTCTTGGCAACTGACTGATCTCCATCAAATAATCAGTAGGTAGACTGAAACCTTATGCAAAAAAATCATATCAAATTGCCAATCAACTCATTCAAGCACGGAATGATAACTTCAACAAAATCGAAATCTAGAAGAAAAAATTTTTATACAACATATCATTAAACTCATATAATCATAACATGTATTTATCTATTTTCTTCTACAGGACTAAATCATGAGAGATTTTTCAAAAGCAAATCAAAAGCCCAAATTGCAAAACTCAATTATTTACCAAGTATCAGAATTGAGAAGAACAATCAACAAATTATGAAGTGATTAAGAAATATAATTCAAGATTTGAAACTTACAGAGATTTAAGGGCTTCAATCTATTGTTGATGGAGAAAATAACAGGTTCTGTGATGGCTGTGATCCTTTTAAACACTTCGCTTCTTCGTATCTTAGGGAGTCTGAACAAGGGTAATCTAGTTTGAGCCCCAATCCCATCCTTTCGCCTCACGAGATAGCATTTAAACACGGATCAGCAAGGTAAGCTAAGTGGATGGTGTTGATGCTTCAAGGTGGTGTTGATGGGTTTGGCTGACTACCCGGGCAGATTCAGATGAAAAGCCTCAGACCTAATGAGACCAATAGGTGCCTCTTGGGCTCAGGTTAACAAACCGGCCGATTTTGCACCAAACTTGTTAGATGAGGGCACATCTAACAAAGATAAATCTAGGGTTTTTGAGATAAAAAGAGGCGAAAACTGGGGAGAGATTAGGAGGAAGAAAGATAGTGATTTTTTTTGTTTTTTATTTGGAATCGGATAGTGAATTTGATCAAAAGATCAATTTGCGCTAGCGGGGAACCTGTGTTAGAGCTCAGACAAGGAAGAGACGAGAAGAACAGAGATGAGATCGGAGAAGAACAGAGATGAAACCCCCCCCCCCCCCCCCCACACACACACATATATATATACACACGTACCTGGGTTATGTTCTTGTGAAGGTGAAACTCGCGAAGATTTTGGTTGATGGATCGATGTGTGCGAAGTGGATTTTCGCGCAGCTAGAGCTTTGATGAAAAAAAAAGGCCCCTTTTTTCATTAAGCCGCCTTTTTCCAAACCCTAAAATGAACACAAATTGCAAATAGCATATATATGTGTCCAGATCTGAAACAATCAAAAGAAAAATAGACCAAAACTAGGGTGAGGATCATTAACTGGGTTATATGAATGTCAAATCGAAGATGGGGGTTCTCTAAAAATCGAAGAAAGAGGCATAATTCCTAAAATTTTGAAAAAATAAAAATATTGTTGTACCTGAAGAGTAAGAGTCGATGTTGAAACGATTGGGTCATTCAGCTTGTGCTGCTGGAAGAGGGTGGAAGAGTCTCAATATTCTGCGACGATGGAAGAGGGTGGAAGAGCTTCAGTCTTCTGCGATGGTGGAAGAGCTTCAGTATTCTGCAAGGGTGAAGAGGTGGAAGAGAGGGAGTGAGGGCTTGAGGCGGGTTGGAACTGAGACGATAGGGAGATGATAGGTATATGGATAAAAGAATGTAATGAAATTATACGAAGTAGTTTTCAGTAATTTATTAAATAAAATAATTTTATATATTATAATTTTTCTCTCACAAATGTGCCAAACAAGGAATTAAGCGGCAAAACAAAAGCGCCAAATAAGGAATTAAGCGCCAAGTTTTGCCGGACAAATTTTTATGGAATTGGGGACAGGCCATTTAAGTTTTAGGGGACAGTCTCAACAACTGTGCCAAAAAAGTAATTTTTAAGGACAGTCTAAAGGACTGTGCCAAAAAAATACGATTTTAGGGACAGTCTCTAAAGACTGTGCCTAAAAAAAAAGCGCTTTAGGGACAGTTTTATAGACTGTCCCTAAAGGACTGTCCCTAAAACCCGAATTTCTTGTAGTGGTAAGACGTAGATAAAATTGAATTCCATCAAAACCAAAGCCCACTTACCTATTCGGCCAGTGATCAATGGCCTTGATAGCATATACTTGATCACGTTAGTTTGACAAAGAATGTAAACATCAACAGGCCGCATGTATACTCTCAACTTCATGGCCGAATAGTACAAGGATAAACAAAGCTTCTCAATTGAGGAATATCTGCATTCTACATCAGTTAGTACTCTACTCAGGTAGTAGACAGCCTACTCCTTTCCATGTTCATTGTCTTGTGCGAGCATACTACCAATTGATTCTTCTGCGGCCGATAAATAAAGCTTTAACGGCCACTTCTTTCTTGGAGGCATTACAACCGGGGGGTTTGCCAAATATTCTTTTATTTTGTCAAAGGCCTTCTGATGGGATTCGTCCCAATGAAATTTCTCGTGTGACTTTAATTTTACTAAAGTCGAAAAGACATGCACTCGGCTAGCATGATTAGAAATAAATCTTCTAAGAAAACCTACCTGGCCGAGGAACCTTTGCACTTGTTTTTTGTTGGCTGGGGCCCTAGCATTTATAATAGCTTTGACCTTGTTCTGATCAACTTCAATACCTCATTTGTGTACCAAGAACCCCAAGAAATTCCCGGCTGAAACTCCAAATGCACATTTCAATGGGTTCATTTTCAATTTGTGAACCTTCATCCTTTCAAAGGCCCTTTTCAAGTGTTCCAAATGCTGTCTCTTGGCCGATGATTTCACAACCACATCATCTATATAAATTTCCATGAATCGGCCAATCATATCATGAAAGATAGAATTCATTGCCCTTTGATAAGTAGCCCCAGCATTTTTTACGCCAAATGGCATCACAATCCACTCAAAAGTACCAATTGACCCAGGACATCTAAAAGCCGTTTTATGAACATCTTCCTCGGCTAAATAGATTTGATTATAACCTGAATGGCCATCCATAAAAGACAATATTTCATGCTTAGCGGCCGAATCAATAAGTTGATCGGCCACAGGCATTGGATATTCATCTTTTGGAGTGGCATTATTTAAATTGCGAAAATCCACACAAACTCTAAGTTTGCCATTTTTCTTCATTACCGGAACAACATTAGACAGCCATTCAACATACCTAATTGTTCGAATAAATCCTGTCTTAAGAAGTCTTTCAATTTCTTCTTTAATTTTGAGCATTACTTCCGAAGACATCCTTCTTGGTGGTTGTTTATATGGCTGAAAATCTTTCTTGATCGGTAATCTATGTTCTACCAATTTTCTAGACAGGCCAGGCATCTCTTCATAACTCCAAGCAAAGCAATCCTTATATTCATTTAATAATTTAATCAAATCGGCCTGGAATTTAGGCTCAAGCAAAGCACTAACAAATAATGGCCGATTATCTTTTTTAGTACCAACATTTATTTCCAATAAAGGATCTTGCACCTTTGCTTTATTATCTTCCATCCTGGAAGGGGCTGACTCCAAATCTTCAAGTTGGATTGCATCCAGCTTTTCGAAACCTTCTTCAATTATATCGGTCGTGCAGGCCGATACCTCTTCATAAAGTTGTTCTTCTCTGGCCAGTCTCTTCTCAGCCAGATATGCTTTCAGTCTGATGCAAGCGGCCCTGAAAGCTTGCCGCTTCTTTTCTTCATTGGTTTTGTGATCCATCAGTAACATCTTCATTGTCCTTGATGGTCGACCTGAAAATATCAATTTTCGGCCGAGCTGCTTCTGACAATAATTCTTTAATATCAGCATTAATTAAATTCTTCTTCATTGTTGCCGCTGCTGGTCGTCCCATCCTGTTAATGCCAACAAATTTGATAGGTACAACAGTTTCATCATAAAGTGCAGCCTCAGCCGAATACACCCTAGCTATAAAGGGTTTATTATCGGCCTCAACAATTTTTACCTCATTTCCATCCCAAAAAATCAACATTTGATGCAAGGTTGATGGGATGCACATGTTAGGATGAATCCAATCTCGGCGTAAAAGGAGATTATAGGCCGCGGTTGAATCAATGATAAAGAAAGCCGTAAAGGATGTCTTACCGCCAATAGTAATTTCCAAAGGTAGAATACCTTTGGTGTTACTAGATCCTCCATTAAAACCACTGATGGCCACGTCGGTTGGAACTACATCATCCATGGTTTTACCCAATTTCTTCAAAGTAGTTGATGGAATGACATTCACCACCGAACCATTGTCAACTAAAACCCTATTGATTGGCTGACCCTCAACCCATACTTTAACATACAACGGCCTCAACTGTTGTGTTATGGACAAAGGTGGTTTTTCAAAAATGATTTTATCGGCCTTAGATGGCTGATCCTGAGAGATCAATCCTATCCCGGCCGATGAACTTGTCGAATCGTTCTTAATTTCTGAAGATTCAGCCTTTTCCTCCTGCTTGGCTGACTCAACATCCCTGTTCACCGTTGGTTCTATCCTTGCTTCAAACACAGAAGGCAAAACAAATACCATGTTACAATTTACCTTATCCGGGAGAGAACCAAAATGAATTCTGTACTTGGCCGCATGCTTTGGATCCTGGTCGGGCTGATCATCTTTTTCTTCATAAAAGCATGCCTTATTCTCAAATGATGTAGCGACCTCCATGTCTTCAGCCACCACTGGTTCATTTTTTCTTTCTAGTTGATCATGGTCGATCTTGTCTTCTTTCCTTTTGAGTTCTGCATTTTTCCTTTGCATCCTCCTTTTTTGGGTATGTGTAGGAGGCTGCTTAGGAAACTTTGGGTGACTTACTCGAGTCCATCTGCCATGGTTAACCAAAGGAGGTCTAACCGTTCTTACACGACTAGATTCTTCTCCTTTTTGAACCCATATTTCTGACTGAATTGTTGGTTTCCTTTTGAAACTAGGATAAAAGTGTTGTTCTGGCAGGACTCTATCGGCCACCGATGACCGAATGATTCTCACTACCCTCGGCCCATTTTCTCTAAATATTGATCGATTGATTTCTTCGTGATTATGTCTAGGCTGATGGCCTAACCTTTCATGGACACTGCGCTTTCTGGTTGATTGGAAATTGCCCCTCTTTTCTGAGTCATTCCTTCGGCCTTTGCAATTTGGACAACAACCATGGTTGATGAGGGCAATTTGAGCTTCTCTTAACTGAATTTCCAAGTCCTTAACTTTCTGCTCATCATTACTGGCTGATGAACTACCAAGAACTTTTGGTAATCTTTCCTGTCTACCATTATCAGCGGCTTTTTCAGTTTGCCAGGCTGATTACATTGGTACTGATAATATTAGGAAATGGATCACCATCGACCCCCATTACATCTGGCTTCTTTTCAGGGAATTTCAATACACCTTCATTGATAGATTTCTGCAATACATTTCTAAATACATAACAATTGTTAGTAGTATGATTCCATGAATTATGAAATTTGCAGAACTCTCTTCCTTTTAAATCATTGGTCGATGGTATATTGTGTCCTTTTGGCAAAATGATTTGTTTGTCGGCCAACAAATGATCAAAAATTTGTTCTGTTTTGGCCAGATCAAACGTATAAACCTTACCAGTATCAGCCGTACCCTTCCTGGCCGATGAAGTCGATGGCTGAGTACCACTGGTGGATACATTTGGTTTTGTTAAAGCGTCACATACATAAGGCTTCTTTAGAATGACTTCGGCTAAATTAGCTTCAAAATCTTCCTCTTCAACCACATCAGTTGAATAAACTTCATAGTTGGGGTCCCTATAGTACGTACCTTTAGAGGAATTTTTTCGTTCTTTCTCCTCTTTGAGAACCAACTCATACCTGGTAGCTTTCTCGGCCAGGTCATACATGTCACGAAATGGAACTCCTTCAAACCTCTTCCGAAGTTCAAAATCAAGGTCGTTCAAAGCCAAACGAATGTACTCCTGTTCTGGAAGAGGTACACGACATCTTAATCTTGCTCTCCTGAATCTTGCAATGAATGTCTCGACCGATTCACTAGGCAATTGACTTAGCCTGGATAAATCGGCCAGAGTAGGTTCTGTCTCCGTACGGTAGAACTAATTGTGGAATAATTTCTCTATCTGTGGCCAATTAAAAACAGAGTTAGGAGGTAGACGAATATACCATGAAAAAGCTGCCCCTGTCAAAGAGTTAGGAAAAAGTCTCAATTTCAACCACGGGCTAACACTGGCCTCTCCACATTGAACCGTGAATCGGGCAATGTGTTCCAGGGTCGATTGATTCCCCTCTCCACTAAAGGTTACAAAGTCAGGGACTTTATATCCTCTAGGGAACTCAACTTGGTCTACCACTTCTGGATAAGGAGTTCTATAAATTGGTCGGCCGGCACCTCTAAGTTCCAGGCCATATTCTTCTGTGAGTAAATCAGCTAATTGTCTTCTATCTAACATGACTTGAGGTGGCTGATTTAATATTGGTGGTACCTGATTAAAAACTGGCGGCTGATTAGCTGCTGGTTGATAGCAATTCGGCCAATCATGTGGCTGATTAGCCATATTCTGCCCCCCGAGCCCTACATGTGGCGGCACATGAGTATACAGTGGGTTCGGTGGCCTCCACCTGATCTGATTGCCCCCCGAGTTCAAAGGCATCCGAGGAGGGTTTGGTAGAATTACCTGTGGCTGCGAACC